TCTTACACTGCTAAATTAGGGATGGCTAGCGTAGATAGCCCCTGCGTAGCTTTGTGCGAAATTCAAAAACAAACAAACAAACCATTGCAGGTCAAAGACGGTATTTTTTGTCTGGAGCAGTACGTATGCCTAAAATGTTGCACAAAATAAAACTAAATAAAGGTATTTAGATGTGTTAATTTATCATGTTACCTATTATCCGAAATATGTGGTTCCTTTTCCAAACGAAAATAAATATCGAAAACGTTTGTTTTGTTTCTCAAATTTTTAACTACATAAGTATCCGTTTTTTGCTAATAAAGTTTCTATTTCAAACTGACTTTAAATCAACGTTTGTGAAATGCATTTCAAATTATTATACCTTAGAACAGCAATAATTTAATAAAACAAATGAATTACTGACAAGAGAGAGTAGGTTCGTTAGGCCTAACTTTAGCGAAAGTAGGTTCGTTAGGCCTAACTTTAGCGAAAGTAGGTTCGTTAGGCCTAATTCTTCTCTCACTTGCATGCTCTCGAGACAGAATATTTCTCCTCTTATTTTTTTTAAATGTGCTGTTTCAATTATTCCAAGGCATGTTTTTTTTTGGGGGGGGAGCATTTATTTCTCACTAATTTTATGAGACACCATTGCGACTGTTTATCCTAAGACCAAAAGTGAAAGATAGTTTCTTGAAGGACATAATAATAAAACTTTCTGACACAGGTTTGTGCAATATGATCAAAACTTTTACCCATGTTTCAGTAATTATTGGAAATGTTACCATTATTACAAATATAAAATATTAGTCTATCACAGTTGTCTCAGTTTCTTTAACAACTGGTATAAAACGACAGGAAAATTAGGTTAAAAAATAGTCTCAGATTTAAATTGTGAGCAGTGACTGTACAATTTAAAACTATGTGCTAGAAAAACAACAAAACACAAACAAACTTAGAATGTGAAAGTTTATTTATTTTTTTCTCGTTTCTTTGTTAGATTTACTTTCCATGTGAATCGGGCAAGAAGGCTGATGAAGTGATTGGTTTTTTAAGGTCACGTGGTGTTGGTGTTAAGGATGGTTCATTTGTTGGGTAAGTTGCTGACGTAGATGGTTAGGACCTATTTCAAAGAACTTTTCCCACAGAACTAATTGGGAGAAGGTCCGGCAGGGTTCGGGTACAGCTAAAGTTTGTGACTATTTGTTCGTCTGTAGAAAATTTCAAAATATTATAGATTTTTAGTAGCGTTTTGATATAAGTATTAATAAATAAAAGTACTTCAATTACAAACAGGATTACTATAAATCAGGCGGTATTGTATATAAACAGTAAGTTGTTGACATGTTCTCAATCAATATTGTTACGTCTCCGTTTGTTAATTAACTTTCCGTAACTTCGTTCCGACGAAACTTTAGCGACACAAGTCCTTACTTAATGAAACTGGTTTATTCTTCCAGAATATAATTTCACGATACACTTGATTTCAACATTCGCGCT